AATAATTTAAAACCCCATTCCCGGCAAAATTTCAGTTGTTACGAAAAATCTAATTTTTGTATAATGTTATAAAGATTTACAAATATAACACGGAATTGCTAGTTTAACTGAATTTAGACATTCCTAAGCATGATAAAAATGTAAAATAAGACTGAAATTTGATTTTTTTTTTTTGTGTTCCACACAAATAATAAATGCGGATGAATTTTTTATGTTTGATTTTGCGATAGGTCGTGAGAATAAATATCTTAGGCGCCGAAAACACTAGCCTATCCAACACTGCTAGGCTAGGCCTAGCCTTAACTCGATTTAGGTTCTGTTATCACATATAAAAACGGCAGACATGATATTTTCCGTTGCTAGTATTGACACTTGTAAAATATAATATTTCATAGGAATTATTTCAAATTTGTTTAAAAAAAATGATTCTGACCGAGATTTTAACACTTAAACAAACATGTTTCAGCCCTAATCGAATGACCGCACTTGTGCGAGATGCGAAGTACATAAACTAATCCCATTAGAGAGGACGCACTTTATTGACTGTATAAAGTATACATAATGAGCGAGAGTATTCCAGCGGATGCGATCTACAACCTCTGAATTTGCCTAGTAACGAAGAATTCGTCGAGAAAATGGTAATATTCTATGAGAAATAGTCTGTATTTCCATTTTTTTTTTATTCTTTTGTGCAAAACTAAAATTTATGCCAATATTTTCCCATGATTTATAATAATTGGAGTAATGCGTATGCATCTTTTCTAAAAAAAAAATTGTTTTTTTTTTGTGAAATTTTGCCGGGAATGGGGATTTAAAGTGAAAATAATGTTAGGCAACAATGATGTGGGAAAAGATTGTTTGATCTCGGCTAACACACAGAACTGATAAGAAAAACCTACAATTTAAACGTATACAAAATATGTGTTTTTATACTATACACCGTATATAAATACTGAAAAACAAAAATACTGTGGAAACCAATGGCTGGATCACGGTGGTAGCGATACAAATTTAATAAGCAACAGCTAAAAAGTAAAGCGCAACAAATAGAACTGGAGCTTTCGGACAACACTCTACTGGTGACAAACATACATACAGCGGGTGCTATATGTGACGGATGTTAATTACAAAATATAATTGATATCGCCCTCTATCCACCATTGCAACACCTATCACATACACTTGTCACCAAGTACATTTTTACTTAAAAGATCCATTAAGAAATTATTTACGTATCAGATGTGTGTAGGCCTATTTACACAGAGTTCGTTTAACGAATATTATTTATACGAGAGATGTAGTAGTATCAGCAACAGCAATAGATAGTAGTAGCGGTAGTAAGCACAATACAGCTATGTTTATGTTGCTTCGCACACAACAAGAGTTCTCGTTAATTTATAGTACTTACTCACAGGATACAATTAAAAGCAATGAGGTAGACTACTACTTAACATAGATTAAACAAAAAGTTCATAATCTTATAATCTTTCATCTTATGCCGAGACTTTGTTTTGTCTTGTTTTTGTTTGTATAGTTGTGAGTGGTATTCTTTGTTGACAACCCATGACGTTTTTCTGTGGGTGCACATTACAAGCCCTTTGTCGTCAATACTTTGCATTCCCCTTCCCCACATTGAGTTTATAATGATTCTACACTCCGGGAGCTAATAAGGAATATATTCATGGATGGATAGCTACAGTCAATTAGTTTGCCTTTAAGAATAACCATAGGCCTAACCTGTTAAATCCTGGACTCCATAAAATCGCTACCTTAACACTGTAGATTTTTACACTGTGTAGCAGCTGTCAATGACGAATCGGGAAGGCTCTACGATTTATCCGACCAATCAGCGTCGCCGAAAACTGCTGGCCATGACGTGTAGCGATTTTATGGAAACCTTTTTATTAATTCGAAAAATTTCTAAATGAAAGGTGAATGTAATTGAATTAGGTTAATGAAATGACATGGTCGTTTGCCCAGGCTCTACAACACGCCATCTATAATGTTTCACAAACACAACAGCAACAAAACCATTTCTTTCTACGTGTATAAATAAAACTGAGGTACAGTATCTAGAGCCAATGTTTAAAGAAACCTATACTATACCTAGAATGTTGAATATTATTCCAATTCTACATTCTAAGCTAACAAACAAATCTTTTCAAGTAAAATATCAAATATTTATGCCTCTAAATCTCATAGAGCGCAGTATCTGTAGTATCGCGGAGGTAGGCCTACTGTATGGTATGCCATGGTATTAGCTGCCATATAAACGATTGAATCAGCTGGTCATTAGTACATATTCAATAGATTATATCCGAATGCCTCAAGCCTTGCCAACATCACGTATCGTCTTAACCAAGGACACCATCTACACACAAATTGTAGGTTGCAAAAAAAAACTCGTGTTCATAGTAGTTCAACTGTCACATAAAGTGTTGACCTGTTTTAGGATTTAGTTCACATCGAAGATCATAGTATTCACGTTAATATCAACAAAAACGGTACCGTAGCCTTTGAATAAAACAAACACAACTTATTTTTTATGATAAAATTTGAAGGTTAATAGTATTTTATGTCGGTATTACTTTATACGATAGCCATATGCGAGTAGTTTTTAGTATACATTAAGTAGTAGAACGTGTTCCCAGAACCAGGCTTGTTTTTGTTTTATAGGCTGATGTACAATAAACATAACAACTTATTATACTAGCTTAAAACATTGTTAAAGCATGTGGAGAACGACAAATGC